TTCAACTGACTTTGAATGTGGCATAGTTGCCAGATGGGCTACTGCTGAGATTTTACCGCACACCCATCTCCAGGGTTTATAGAAAAGAAAATATCCAGGTGAAACGACTCGTTGATGTCAGAGGTCAGAGGGGAAAGGCCAGACTGCTTTGAGGTGAAGGCAAAAGTAGCTCAAATAACTACTTGTTACAAGCATGGTATGCAGAAGAGCATCTGTGAGGGTAGAGCACGGTGAACCTTGAAGTGCACGAGCTACAGCAGCTCTATTGTTGCTGTATTGTTTAGATGTTAGAGTCAGAATTTGGCCTAAACTGCATGAAAGCATCTATCCTGCTTTGTATCAGTGCGTCAGGCTGCTGGTGATGTAATGGTGTGGGAGATATTTTCTTGGCACTCTTTGGTCACGTAGGCCCAGCTGACCATTGTTTGCCTACCTGAGTAGTGACCACACTGTATCTGTCCTCTGATTGGTCCGTCAGGCAGGATAACACACTGTGTCATGAAGCTCAAATCATCTGAACATGACGATGAGTTCACTGTAACGAAACGGCCTCCACCGGCAGCAGATCTCAGTCCAACACAGCATCTTTGGGTTGTGGTGAAACAGGAGATTGTGCAGCTGACATATCCATGATTGCTTCTCATAATTATTCGATTTTTAATTACAATCAATCAATTTTAATTGATTTCATTGTAATCACGCACTGTTTTTATTTACATGGATTTGATTTTCTACATTAAAATGTAAAGTTTTATCTTTAATGTTAATCATTTCATTTTATTTTGGACGTTTTTGATTTGATAATTTAAAAATTTCCCTCTCACAGTTTTAATTCAGTAAATCCCAAATTTTGAATTTTCCTCTTATTAATTTAAATTTGTATTCAACAATTATATCATTAATAACTTTGTCTCAAAGGTTCTTACAGTTGCACTTGAGTTTGTTGACATTTCTGTCACTACAGTTACTAAAAAAATACTTGTTATCATTTTTATGTCATATTTGTGACGTATACCTATATTCATTGTTTTATATTTCATGTTTCTCTTTGTAAAAGTAGTTTTTCCTGCTGGATTGTTGTACAGTACATACTTAAAGTAATGCAGTAAAGCACCTCATGTGCATTTCAGTAACTCTTCTTGATTGCATGTTGTGCAGCGAGGCAGCATTTCCAGTTTTAACAAGTCACCAATCAAGCGCTTCAAGTTTCAAACCAGTTTCTTCTGAAGCTTCACCTCGGGGCTTCTTTGGCAGGTCGAGGAAAACTACTTCATCTCCCACAGCGCTCACAGACACTGATCTCTGCTCTTAGACACAAGACTAAGGTGACATAACCTCACAGTCCTCCTGAGCTAACAGGAGTGTTTAATATAAACAACGACATTTAACTGCTTAGTTTTGGTGCAGCAGCTTATTACATGAAAAAGCAAATTAAAAGCACTGCTCAGACACAGACTCTGTGCTCACAGCCCAGCGTCATGCAGCTTGTTTGGAGTTGACATAAGAGCTACGAGGTCCAGCTCTAGGACTGCGTTGTCTTCACAGGTGAGAGCAGGTTCGCTCTGAGCACATGGTCAGAGGGGCCGATGGCGCGATATGGCAGCCTCGCTTCTGTCAGTCTGCCCCAGGGCAGCTGTGGCTACAACTGTAGCTGCCTCCACCAGTGTGT